ACCGTTAGAACAATTGCACCAAGCTTGTAAAGTTGAGGCAAAATAAAACAAATCTTATTTTCTGCTTCCAACAAAAAAAAATCCTTGAATATTCTTTCTTGTAGACAAGAATAACGTGGAAATTTCTCACTTTAAACACTTCTTCTTTTTTTTATAACTGAATTAATTTAATGAAAAATATTTATTTTATTTTAAATAAATATTAAAAAAATATCATCAGTACATTAATAATCCGGTCAAGCCGACGACTCCAAAACAGAGATTGTATGCAAACACATGCAGACCACAGAATGCAAACAACTATCGATGGTCTGTGAACTATCGCCGCGTGGGTACACGAGACACGAGGTTAGGTTATATACAATATCATGGATCTCAGAGGGGGAGCGTAAAAATGAAGTATATAATTGTAACTGTTGAAGATTTATAGTGGAGACTTCAGATTCTGGCAAAACTAATAAATATAATAGCGATTTAGAACTATCTTTATTAATACAAAAATACATCAAGCTTGTAGCCAGAGACAACTAATGAGACGGTTAACTGCAATTTTGCTTTTCACCAAGAATTGACTGGGCGATTGGACTGGAAGATAAGGCCGATGGCGCTGGTATACCTTGTGTTTTAATAGTGGCCTTTTTCTTTATAAGCAACCGGTCAAATTATAATTTTTGTTTTAAAAAAGAAGAACCGCGGGAAATTCAAATATGTAGATCCACTTTATCTATTATTTTTATGATTTGATGCACTGGAAATGTGAATAAATATGTAATTCACATTTACTAGCACATCAAATCAGAAAAAAAATCATTTTTTTTTAGGCACACAAAATAAAAAGCATTAAAAAGGAAAATAAAACGAAGTATGATTTCAATAATAAGATAAATTCTGTATTAAACAATAATAAACATTCACACCACAAAGGTTCTACAATAAAATTGAAATACTTACTTTACGGAAATACAAAATCCCGGCGTGATCCGGGCATTGTTAGTTCCTTCGGGTTTGTAAACAAACTTAAAACTACCTAATATGAAAACACCACGATAAAAATGTCATTTACCGGGGAAAACACTAAACTAACAAATTTAAATACGTAACTAATAATGAATGAAAAACAACCAAAAAAATTAATTTACAAGTTAAATTGTAAAATATATATAAGTAAAACGACACCAAAGTCACCAAACATAGAAACAAAAAATTGGACAAGGAGATAAAATGATAGGTTAGAAATACGTCAATCTGGCAGACGTCAAAGTGAAATGCTCGTGCTGTGATGCCAAACTTATTTTCTTCTAGTGCTATTGACTTTTTATTTTTGATCTTTGTACATAATCCTGCTATATATTTCTTAAAACACATCTTTTGTTATATATATTATATACAAAGAAATTACAAAGTCCAATATAAATTACTTATGGATAAATAAGATCATTATTATTTAAATGTAAAAGAAACAAATTTGGAAAATGTTCATAACGGCAACATTGCTGGAACGTTACCAGCGACATCTACCTTATCTTTTAGCTTATGAGAACAAGATAACGTTATAAGGAAATAATGTACATGACAAAGATAAAATACCAGCTGACCCTGATGACTACTATACCTAAATGTCAATCAATTTTTGCTATGAAGTTAACCGTCTCGTGTTGTCTCTGATGTAGCCATGAACATAAAACCGCGAACCGATACATGAACAGCATTGCTCGCTTGCCACAATTGTTCAGGCCTTAGAATGAAAGTACGCAACTGGCCTTTTACTTTTAAAAACAAACAGAAACATGAAATTATCTTTAACAGTAACCACAATATATCCCCTATAGTAGTGCATCTCACTTGTTAAAGAGTTGGCACTAAGTTTGCAGCGCAAGAATGCGTCTGTGTCTGGCCGCTCAACTAACTCGATATGGCGGTAAATTCAAATATAATTTAAAGGCGAAATTTAAATTTCCCGCCAAAATTGTAAATTTTCAGCCGCGGAATGGCGGGAATTTTTAAATATATTCATTCGGCAATAATTATTGAGAAGTATATTGCATGTTCGATTAAACGAGCTGTAAATCCAGGCGCTATTTTTATTTTGATAGCTAAAAATAATACTAATTCTTTTATTATTAGCTATTACAATAAGAGCAGCATTTGGATTAACAACACATTTAAAAGAACATGTAATATAATTTTCAATTTTACCTAAATCACTTATTTTTTACCTATAGAGGTTAGATCTGAAAAAAAATTGGCTCTGGTAAAAAAACAAAAAATTGTATAAAGTATTTTATTTGAAAAATTATAAAACTTATTTAATATATTTTAAAGACGAAGATAACTCTAGCCATATCCATTTTACTGAAAAAAAAAAAAAAAAGAAACTATTAAATGAAATCATTTAGTTATTAAGAGATGTTTGTGATAATACAGTGGCAGCTATCGAATGTTGTACAATACGTTTTGCTAATGTCCAAGTAAAAACTACAAAGAGTTAGCATTAGTGAGAGAAGGAATAGAATACTATGAACGTAGCCAGCCGGCTACGTGGGGATGCATCACACCGTGTGCCTGTTCATATTACACAGCACACAAGGCAACATTCATATTATTCGTTTCCTGATCGAACTAATGCGCTAACTCTTTAGTTTTATTTTCGATTCTAGCCAAGCGTATTCGAAAGTGTTCATTAGCCGATACTGTATATAAATGCTAAAATCAATAAGTGACATAAAAAAATTTAGTTTAAATGGACATCTACTTCGAAAAAAGTAAATTATTATACTTGAATTTTAAAGGCTGTTGCCACTGGAAAACTATTATCTAGGGCTTGGATGACAGCCATAGGACTCCCTCCTTGAATCGTGTCCATAGGAAAGCATAAGATCATAGTTAAATTATAATATTAAGAGGGTAGGTATTAACTGAAAAATTATTACAAACTTACCTCAAAATTGGCACCTACATTAAAAGAAGGGAAAACGGAAACATAAAATTGTTATACTTGAATTTTAAAGGCTTTTCCCACTGGAAAAGTATTATCTAGGGCGCAGACCCTTGGATGACAGCCATAGATAGCAATCCCTCCTCGATTCCTCTTTTTCTGAGTTTGTTGTACGTTTTGTTTCCCATATTAAATAAGAAAGCACTTAATACAACAACACAAATCACAATAAATATCGCTGAAACAAAATTAATATTAAATTTCGTAGAAGAAAAAATCAAAAAATTATCACTTGTCAACACTGACACTTCACGCTTCACTTATAAAAACTCAACGCTAAAGAATGAAAGATGATTCGAAATAGAAATTATTAACTGGTATCTCTTTCTTTTATAAGTATCTAAACAAAGAGAAGGAGTGGGAGTGAGTAACGCTCCGATCAGATTGTTTTGAATTCGTCGTCAACCAATGAACGTGCCGAAGTCAAAAATCAATAACGATACTAGCGCCATGAGACCTGTGTCTGGCCGCAGCGTAACTCAAAGCCATTTCTTGAATCCCAGTTACATTACTATAGGGGATATATTGTGACAGTAACAACCTCTTTAGAACCAAGAACGGATATGGGGATTGACTTATATCAATGGAAAGATCAGAATACAAGCTTTACTTTGATCTAGTTATTGATCCTCAAAAAATAAAGAGAGGCTAACAAGAAATGGTTCAACAAAAAAAGGTCGGTTTTCACTCGTATGATCAATTTTCCTCCTATTAGACTCTATTAAAAATAAAAAAATATATTCGCAAAGTAGACCATCTAAGCTTTAAAATGATGTGCATTGGAAATAAATATAACGGATCATAAGATTATAATTCGCGCTTGTTCCGAAGATTCTATGGAACTCCGAAATCGGCTAAAACATGTAAATAAACAAATCAATTTTCTATTAAAACGCAAGAAAAGTATTACAAAAAAATTTCTGAGATTATTCAAGACCCCCCAAGGTTCCATTATAAAGGCAAAATTAGAATAAATGACTATTTTTAAAGAAAATATCAATAAATTAATGAAGCAGTCTCTAAATATTGTTGAAAAAAACTTGACCGCTTTTTTTAAATATTTTTGGCAAATACGAACTGACTTCAAGTCACATTGAATTGTAGCTACGGGTTTTCCCATTGCGATGAACTTTGAATCATCGAAAAATATAAATTTTTTTGATATGGAACAATTCGTCCGCCCGCTTACACGTTAATTTATAGAAAGCGAAATTCCTGCAGGTAGAGCAGCAGCTGAAATGAGGGGACTTTTGAGTGCCATTATCTCGAAAACTATTAAATTTTCGAAGAAAATGGTAAGGACCATTTTTGTATATAATGACCTGATCTTCATTTTTTGTCTGATCAAAAATTCTCTAATTGGCATATTTAGTCAGATATTAGCGGGAAACCGATTTTCCAGGTTTTAGGGGTTCATTTTCAGCCCCTTCCGGTACCAAGAACGCGATAAGGATTTTCTCGTTTAAAAACACCTGCGATTACCTACAAATTGTGCTATGTGGGAACGCAGCACTTAAGGAGGCGTTTTAGCCACTAATTTCGGCGAATTTTAAAAAATCATTAACAAAATATTAAGAGCTTAAATTTGGGGATTATATTAAGAATACTGGTGTTGAGGAATGCATTTATTTTCATTATGATATTTCAAAATTTAAAGCCCTTTGATTTTTTTCTTGGAAACTGGAAATAATTAAAACTTTAAAATATAAGCATGTTCTAGATATTATTGCCTAATTTATTTTGCCAAAATTTTAATTTAAAAAAATTACTTTTTGAGATATCGATGGCGTAGAGTGAAACCCTCGTATCTCAATTTTTTTTAAAAAAAATTTTATTATGTTATTCCAATGAATACCTCGTAAGTCATTATTGGACTAAAAATGGCTGCTTTACCTCGAGAGCTGTGACATCTAGCGACCTGAATGTAAACCACGTATCCATTTTGTGGAATTTAAATAAAACGAAAACCTTGTATGTCACAGAAAACCTTGTAAGTCACAACGTGGTAATTGTTTTGTGTTAAATCTGTAAACATCGGTTTGAATAATGTAAGTTCTTTGTTTATTTAATCAAAAACTAGTAAATGCATGACACTTGTTTCATAATTTTATATTATTTAGTCTCTTGATAAAATAGTTTTGATATAATAAAAGTTTTTTGTTGGCACCCTACGAAAACCTCGTATGAACCTATCATTCTATAATGAATGTTACATCCCACGAATGTTTAGTGCTAGACATACGAGTATTTCATGCATGGTATTCGGCGTTCGTTCGTATTATAATACAACGTTACATTATTTAATTTCAGGTCCTCTAGAGGTAAATCTATACTGCAGCTAGCTTTAACACAAAATGAATCGTCAGAAGATGTAAATAGTGAAAGAGACAATGTCATACCCTCTACGTCTAGAGATGTTGATAGGACGTCTCCAATGGAGTTGTTGGAAGATAACGATGACTCGGATGCGGATCCACTGTTCAACCCAGAAGAAGAGACAGAATCGGAGTCTGAACCTGATGCAGACAGAGAAAATTTATCAAATGAAGCACCTTTAGCAATAATTACTAGCACGAAGGCAAAACGAGCAAAACGAGGACGAGCAAGTAAAGACAACTGGACTTCGGAGAAACAAAGAATAAAAAGAAATAAGGGAGAAGAATATTTTGGTAGACGAAAAACAGAACAAGGAAAAATTATTTTTGATGTACCTAGGGCTTCCAGACAACTGAAACCTCGATGTAGCCACACAATTTCTACGTTCTTTAAGTGCAGTTCTGTAAGTGATAATTTAAGGCAGGAAATTTTTACTACTTACTGGAAAATGAGTCGGCAGGAGAAAAAGTGTTTTGTAAAGGCACTAGTTTTGAAGAAAGGGGTTAAACAAAGACGAACAGTTAATCCAAATTCTCGTAGAGGCAATTCCTTTCAGTACCATTTAAAAGATGTAGGTACCACCTTTCACGTTTGTAAAAAAATGTTTTTACATACATTAGCCATTGGAGAATGGACAGTTCATGCGTGGGTCGGTATTAAAGATAAAATTAGCACAACAAGAAATCCTGTCATCAAAGCTAACGAGAACGCCAATAGACAAAAGGTTCATGATTTTCTTGATAGTCTACCAAAATTGGAAGCACATTATTGTAGGAAAGATACAGCCAAATTATATTTAGAGCCTATGTGGCAATCAAAATCTAAATTGTATACAGAATACTTTTTGGATTTAAATATTGAACAACAGCATTCAGTATCAAAATTTGTATTCTGGCAAATTTTTGATGAAATGAATTTTGCTTTATTCCGACCAAAGGAAGACCAGTGCGATATCTGCTGTGGCTACAGAACAAAAAATGTTACTGAGATTTCTTACAATAGGCATATTGAACGTAAAGATGAGGCGAGAAATGAGAAAGACAAAGACAAGGCAAATCAAGATCCATCTGTAGTGGTGTTTACGATTGACCTACAAGCCGTATTACTTTGTCCTTTTTTAAAAGCATCAGCACTGTATTATAAAACGAAACTTCTCGTACACAACCTAACTATTTATAACCTAAGAAATCATGACGGATTTTGCTTTTTGTGGGACGAGACTCACGGAGGCCTTAATGCTGACGAATTTTGTAGTATTTTGTATGATTTCATTATCCATAATATTGACAGAACCGTAGTAAAAGAGGTAATTTTCTACAGCGATGGTTGCACATACCAAAACCGCAATGCAATTTTATCTAATGGATTGCTTCTAGCTTCAGTAAAAACAGGATTAATTATTACTCAAAAGTTTTTAGAAAAGGGTCACACCCAAATGGAGTGTGACTCGATGCACGCCACAATTGAACGACATCTAAGAAATAGGGAGATCTATTCTCCAGCTGGATACGTAGAAATGTGCAAGACAGCTCGTACGCATCCTAGACCATACCAAGTAAGGTACTTGGAATTCGACTTTTTCTTAAAATTTAAGGATATCCCTTATGTAAACTCCATACGTCCTGGTAACCGTGTTGGAGATCCTGTTGTAGTGGATTTGTGTGCAATACAATACCATCCTGAAGGTACGATGCAAGTTAAGAAAAAATTCTCAGATAGTTACGAGGATTTACACAGGCGTATTAAAAAACCGGACGCCACTGACAATTTTATGAAATTATATACCAGAAGAAATTCTATTAAAATACAGAAATTCAATCATCTTCAAGAATTAAAGATGGTCATTCCAAAAGATATTCATTCATTTTATGATGAGCTGCCACACTAAAAATAAACTTTTTCTTTATTTTGTTTGGTTAAAAAAAGTATTATTTGTTTGTTTTATCCTATAAGATAATCAGTTTTATTGTGATCTTATTTTTTAATAAATAGTTAATAAAAGTTTCCCCTTAATATTGTATTGCTTATTTATAACACACGAAATACTCGTATAACTAGTAAGTCATGTTGCGTGAAAACCCCGTAAGTCACGGTACTACGTCATAGTAATGATTTCCTAAAAATGTGTTGTTTGAGGTAAAAAAGTATAGCTTTTTAGATACACTATCCAATAAAATATTTTAATCTTTAGATAATCTTAACTTAAAAACAGTTTTAACTGTCTCCTGTAAAATTTGCAATTTTTGACATACGAGTGTTTCACTCTACGCCATCGATATGCTTGTCTGCAAATTATAAGGGGTGCTGTAATCACCTTAAAGGTTCAGATAAATATGTTTTACTTGATCTGTTATACCTACTTACCGAGTGTTAGATGTTTGGATGACATTTTGTACGTTGATATTGATATACACTTTTTGGTATGCTTTAGAATTTTGGTTGAGTATGTGTTTATGTGTAGCATTTATAGCGATAGGTATCTTTATGTTAACTTGAAAACAGGTTGATTATCTATCAACATAATTGATAATTTTTGTTAATTCATGATCTAGGTACTTCAACATTAAATTTGAAGATTCAAAATGAGATTAAATTTAGATAAAAATGTTAGTTTTGATAATAATACATAATTAGCTGAATCATTTTGATGATCTTAATTTAATTTGTAATGGTGTCAAGTGTTCTACCATATATAGGATTCATTTATTCCTTAGATCAAAATAAACCGATTTAAGGCTGGGCGTTGGCAATGTTGGTTCTTTTAACCAAATTTGCTTCAAATAGAAAACTGAAAATATTCCTACCGATAATAGATACACAGATTTGTAAATTGAAATGGGAACCATCATGGGCGTCGTTACACAATTCTATAGGGGGGGGGGGGAAATTTTTGAAAAAATTTAGTATGTTTATTCATTGAAAAACAAAGAAAATTAAACATAAAAGATAATTTTCTTATGATGGATTCAATTATTCTGTGACGTCATATCTTACTTCTGGGTTTTCCAGAAATAACAGAAAATCGCAATTTATTTTTTATTTTTAAATGAAAACCCTTTTTCTTATTGAAAATTTGAATTTCTGGTACATTTTTGTATAAGAAGCGTGTATTAAAAATTTTGTCAGTAACATATTAAAAAAAATATTTTCCAATATGATCATTTTGACAGCTGACAAAAAATTTCCAACACTTGATTCTTATCCATAAATGTCCCTAAAATTCAAATGTTCAATAAAAACGGGGGTTTTTATTTAAAAATTAAAAATAAATTGAGATTTTGTTATTTCTGATGAAACAGAAGTAAGCCAATTGAATCCAGTATATGAGAGTATTTGTCCCAAGCTTTTAAACAAATAAGTTTTCATTCCAGTATCTCAATTAACAACGAAGATAAAAGAGGATAGAATTATTAAACGGTTTGCTAATAATAAAAATGCTTAGATACGCTACTTGTATACGGTAAATGGGTCTCAATGGGAATTTTGAAACCTAAAAAGATTTTATAAAGTTCGTACATTCCTATATGTTTTTCCATAAACGAATGAATAGTAACAAATTTAGAAAAATATTATCCAATATGGCGGCTATTTTGACAGCTGACAAAAAATTGTCAATGCACGATTGTTATAGAAAAATGTCCCAGAAATTTAAATTTGCAATAAAAAAGGCTTTCCTTCTAAAAATAAAAAAAAATCTGTTATTTTCGGAAAAATCGGAAGTAAGCCATGACGTCACAGAAAAATTGAATCCATCATAAGAAAGTCTTTCAAACAGAACAAAATTAATCCAATATCTCACTGAATAGCGAAGCTAAGGGGGAGTGGAACTGTAGTAGTAACCCTAACAATGTCACTGACCTATTTGACAGAATTGATACTTAAGTCACAGTTTATAGCTAAAGAATCAGTTCGCTCACTTCGGCACTGTTGATCTCAATGTTCCAGTTTATACGCTGCGCAACTCGGATTTGTATCCCTGGCGCATACAGAATCAAATCATAACCAATACAATGTATGACAACCGCCTACTATATTCAAACAGCAGTCTTCTGCGCATCCTAAATTTGTATCCCTGGAGTGGATGTTATTTTGGAACATTCAACTGGTCCAAGTGAGCTAACTGATTATTTAGCAATAAACTGTGCTTAAGTTGTCATAACAAGTCTCTAATAAATAAAACAATCCAACAAAAAAAGACAAAATAAAAGTATATGGATTTATAAAACAAGTGAAAAAATTAATATTATTATTATATATTTTTTATACTTCAGCTAAAAAAAGTAGTATAATCAATAAAAATCAATAATAAAACATAGGTAGGTATTTACGAGAAAATGTATGAGATCTTCCCTAGGCCTAATAAGTTGTCATTGAAGAATAGGTTAAATTATGTCAAAATAAAAACACTACTATTATATAATAACGTAGAATTAAAACGTATTAACAAAAATAATTGGTATATTTGCGATTGTAATTTATATTTTCTTCATTTTTAGTTCGAAAGAACCCATAGAAATTAATGATTAAAACTGGTTTCCTATCAATAAGTCATAAGATTGCATTTCAGCCATATACAATAATTAAAGGCAGAAATCTAATCATTTGCTAAACATTTAAAACTTAAGGGATGTTGAAGAACATCATAAAATAATAATTTTTTCTTCTTATTATACAGCTGTCTATTTATTTTTTTGATTTAATTTCGATTTTGCTACTGAAAATTTATATAATTTACAGTTTTTTTGCTGGTATAATTTGCAACATAGTAACTCCGGTTGTTCATTTTATTGTTTTTAACCTATTTTTTAGTAAAAAGTAAAATGTATACATGTATTTGATACGCCAAAATTACAAAATATCGCCCTAAAGTACTCGAATTATCCGCAGCTTGCGCTAGTATCGCTTTTGCTTTCCCTACCATGACTTCGCACTGATCGAATAGATCGCAGCCATGTTTTAACATGCCTTAGCGTGCTAAACGTTCTTTCGATTAACTCTGTCGTTGGTGGAAGAGCCATAAATATTTTTTAAACCACTTTTTACGTCTGGATAAAATTCACAATGTTCGGATGCTATATCATTAATGAAAATCTCATTGTGTGTAGAAAGCCCTTTCGTACTTCAGTTTGGTATTCAGCTTCAAAATTGTCGATTCCAAATTTTTCCACTACTTTCATTTTCTAATCGGTAGTGAAAAAAGTATTGTTTTTATGCTTTTGGGATGTAACAGGCTTAAGGAAATTTAACAGAGCCTTCGGAAAAGCGTGATGTAAGCGACGTAATAAGGGAATCCAGATATCGTCGGCCTAAGATGCAAATGGCCTAACTCCACTTTTTACCAAAGGTACGTTTTTTGGCTATCAGTTAGTTAAAGATCTGTACTGTCGATTCGAAATGGCCTGCCAAGCCTATTTTAAATATTCGCGCCAAAAATTACATGACTCATTTTGTAGGTATAACCCCTTTACATTAAGGTTAGGTCTAAAAGATTTTTTGCGTTTCCTGAAAAATTTATATTTTAGGAGTTAGGCCATTTGCATATTAGACCGACGATATTCAATAAATATATTAAACCTATAATATTCTTCAACTATATTAGCCTTAATATTATTATTTCTATATGAGATTGTTGTTCGTGTGCATAATCTTACGCGTTGTTGATTAAGTCGCTAAAAGCCAGGGGGCAACTGCCTCCCCCCCCAAACGACGCCCATGGGAACCATATAAACAAAATCTATTCGGGACGAGTGTAAGTGGAAATGAGGTGGAAGTCGTACTTACCCGACGAACATTTTGGTCTGAGAAAATAATGGCCGCTAATTATAATGCTGGCCTTTTAACTTTTACCTAAAAGAGCCGGCATATATAGATGTCACTACGGCCGACAGTCGGGCCAGTAATTTTGCCATAAATAGCACCCACATAACATCAATGTTCTATGAATATACCAAGAACGTTCTGTTTAAGTTCTTTTTAGTTTATCCTTTTAGAATGTTCTTAGAACATACTTAGAATATACTTTGAAAGTATATTCTAGAAAGTATTGATATAAATTTCTGCCCCGGCGTAGCTTTGAGCACCAGGAACAATACTCCTGAGGGTGTGCTTCTCTCTCTGAAATTTTATAAACAAGTTAAAACTGATAACAATAATAAAAAAAAAATATGTTCTCAATCTTCTTCCGGATTTCTGTAATTGCTCTGCTCCCAACTGGTATTCTCTGTTTATTTGAATGCTTTTAAAACTTGTAAAGTATATCATTATCAATGACAACTTTGAAAATTACTTCACTGTCAATTCAAAAGTACTTATCTTTTGGATTTATTTTCCTTTGATACGTTCAATTAGTGCGATACTATTTACTTCTTTCAAAATCTGTATCCAATAATAATCAGATTTTCAAAATATCCATTTATTAGAACATTATATATAATTATTAATCTTCACTGTGATTTTCTGAATATCATAATTTGTTTCTTGGTACCAAGAAAACAATTTTAATACTAAAATTGTTTAATTTTGAGGATCGTTGAAACTTTTGATCCTCCTCTCAATTTGGATGGTACCCAACTAACTTTATTGAATATCCATCCAAAAAATCACAATTACTATAACAACCAATTCAATTTTTTTTTACAAATTTATAACTTAAACACATTTCACATAGTGGCTGATATTCTTCCTGATGCTCAAAGCACACCAATCAGGAATCCATATCAGTATATACTGAGTACGTGCCTTAAAAGTATATTCCAAAAAGTATATACTGAGCACGTGCTATAACAGGACATTCTTAGAATATAGTAAAAGTCATATACCCAGCATATACCTCATATTCTGAGAATGTTCTAAATGCTTGCAGGTAAAAATTAACACCAAATACATTTAAAAACAAGTTTATATACATATCTATATGAATTTTTCCCAGATGCCGATCTAATAATTTGCTACCAAACGCACTAATGTTGAATGTTTAGGCCAAAAAACATTCTTAAAGTAAAATAGAAGAAAAGAAGAAGAATAACATAACCTACAATTCCTACAAATTTTTTTGATCTCGTCTCAGTGTTGTGAGACGTAGCGGAATTCCGCTATTCGTAGCGGAATTTTATCAAGGTAGCGGCGTAGCGGCGGTAGCTCAAAATACCTTAAAACGTAGCGGAATTTGAAATGAAATCTGCCACATTACAAAAAATAATAAATCTTGTAGAAATTGTTTAAACTTTATTTGTACCGTTTATTATAAAGACGAGTTCAGTCAAATAACATAAAATAGGTAACTTTTATGGTAGCGACATCCTGTGCCTGAAATTAGGTTAAAAGAACATAATATTTCTTCCGTGTTAAGAGTTGACTTATTTTTTTTAATTTTTCATCCTTCCACAATTTCACTCGTCACAAAAATGTTAAAATAAACCAATAAACTCAAACCCAGGGATCCCAGATGTACTGAGCCTAAATTCG